GCTGATAAAATCCATCCTGAGCATGGCTCTGTGTTTGCTAGGTAACAGACTCCATATTTATCCAATGGGGCTGAATTTTGGATATGTTATATTACACACCCATTGGAACAACTTTCATGAAGAATGTGGCCTCATCCGAGCTATGTAGGTTGCTGAAACAAAGCTTGCAATATGACCTACGAAACTGGGCTGGCAGGGGACTGTAGCCAAAATTGAGTTTGTCTTTAAGCTCTTCATCCATTCATCCAAATTAGGCCCTAACATGCATGGATTGCATCATTTACTATCCAAGGCCCTCATTATTACCTAAAGCTCAATGAACTGAAAGATAAACACAAAAATGATTAAAAGCACAAGTTTAACTCAAAAACATAACCAAATCATAAGCTAGAAGGGTACAAAATGATATGTAAATATGCACCGATCATGGCCCATGCTGGTCCATGCCTCTGTGAGGTTCATAGACCACTGGCAGTTGTGTATCAGGAACACCCCCACATTGAGACATGTCCAGCTTTGCTCTTTGTATATCAGATGCCACCAGCCATGCACAACTAGGTTATGGTCTTTATATCTCTCTAGTAGGAGCTTGAACTCCATGTCTGTGAAGATTGCATGTGAGTCGACCCACCAGATCCACTCCGCCTCATGATCCGCCAACATGGCAGCACGGAGAATTGGGTATTTGGCCCAGGTGCCAGTCATTTGGACGCAACAACACGTTGTTGTAAAAGATGGCATAGCCGTTGAATCTGCAATAGTCTACATTGTTTTTGGAACACTTTAGCTGCAAATGATCATCAACGGGGTTGCTACACGTGGAGGGCTGAGACCCAGTTCAAGAAGAATCTGATCACCTACGCCAGCAGCAAACGAAGGGTGATGCTCCAACCATTCTCTGCGCTTCCTATCCCAGTCTTTTACAGGTTTCCCAATGGAGTAGATGAGGTCCCGGTCATCATAGAATGTAGGCTCAGCCGGGTCATAGCCTAAGTAAAGGCCTCCAACAGCTGTATTCCCGGTGATGACAGGAGCGCCCAAACCAAAGATGCTCCTCCTACAAATTGAAACCCATCAGCAATTAAAGAAGGAGCTTTCTGCAGAACTGAGTGCCTAGATGATGTTGAAGTAGAGGGAAGTCCGGTGAACCCATTTTCAAGAAAGCTCCTTCAGGGCGTCATTGTGAAATAATAGCAGTGCCTTTGTGGTATGCTGATAGCTTTGTGTATGTGTGAGCTTAAACTTTTAAATACACAGAGCAGAGAGTGTAAGCTTGAAGGTACTACTTTGGAAGCATTAATTCTTGAATATGCAGAAACCGAATTTTGAATGAAAAATCTCTCTCAATCTACCCAAACTTAAAGAGGTAAATACAAGTCACTGGGTGCCACTACCGCGAGGCAAGAAGCCAATAACCTACTCAACAGGTCCAACTGAAAAATATTGTACAACATAATCACCAGATGTGGTACTGCATGTCCTTTCGATATCCCGAATTTGAAATAGAAGTTAATATCTTAGCTAGTACCCTATCCAAGTTTTTATTTTATAGCCCATCGATAAGTAATGTGTGTACTGACAAATCTGTCACACATGTTAACAGGAGCAACTAAATCAGAAAAGATGTGCAATTTAATTCAAAGGAAATAGACTAACCAATCAACAGATACAACTGAAAAATATAATTTATATCTTGCAAATCAGGTACCAGACTAACCAAGGCATCTCCTCAAACCAACTTTTAAGAACAATAATGTACAAAGATACAAAACCCAAGTCATCTGTGTGGCAAGAAGCTCAATTTATGTGAACACCAATAACTTACTCAACAAGTACATCTACTTTACATTTCTGTCCACCAAGGGCTCATACCAAACAACCAATTGCCAAGCTTCATGCCTTTAATGTTACACAGCTAACTCATTGGTGCCAAACCCATCCCAACCAGAAGAACACGAATAAACAAGTAAATAAAAAACTGTAAAGCACTTGATATGCACGCTACATCATTGCATTGAAAAAATAACCATGTTATACAACCCAATGTTATAACGTTGGGGCAAATGTGGGGTTTTGTGACATTATCCTTACTTCCTACTATCATTGTCACACGGTAAATATTACATTTTTTAACAGTAATTTGATATGTTTGCATCGTATAAATGAAGAATTGAAGTTGCATTGGCAAAGTTGAAGTGCATTACTGGTGCGCACGTAAATGATTCTTGACCATTGATGCATTTTGGACTCACAATGCATCACTGGTCAGATCCACTCACGTGCTGCAACTAACCGTAGCAGTATCCAACACTCCAAATGAAAAGCATTGTTGGGTTTTGATGCCCTTGTTATAAGCCGGCAAATTCGTAGAGGGCATGGCAATGAAGGAAGTGATGAGTTGCTGTCACTTTGGTTGAATGCTAGTGGTTAATGTATACAGTAGAACGGACAACGGAGGGCCCTGCTGATGGCAATAGGCAATGGGCAATGTGTGGAAATTGAGTGTCACGGGTTTGACTGAGGCTGGAGCTTCATATGATTTTTGTCACTAATTAAGGCGCTTTCATCGACGGAATTGGTGTTGGGTTGGAAAATGCGGGGGGGCTCTTCACTTTTGGAGACCTGGCATGACAACGAAATTCATATGGACCCTGAACTTTATGGCCTTTAACTCTTTAGCATGGGTTGGTCAAGCAAGCTCTCCACTAATTGAGGCCATTCAAAATATCATGTTTCATTCATTGGTTATAAAGTCTGGATAAAAAGTACAGTTAAAGTTTGGTTGGAAGATGGGTTTTACAGTCTCTTCATATTTTCAACAATTTCTCTTTTAAACCCTAATATGGCATGAGATTCATGTGAGACTTCTCTTGGGTGAGACCAATAAAGCTAAGAAAAGTAGACTCGAATTAGGCCACTCGGCTTGCACTCAAGTTCGAAATAATTTAGACTAACTCTTGTATTAAAAAAAAACTGAGAAAAAAGTGGGGTTTTATTTATGTCACTTTTCTTGCAATTTATACTTTTAACATTTTGGTGGAGATTAGATTGTTGTGATTAGAGGAAAGTTCAAAAAAATTCACCATAATTTACACTCTAACATTCTTACTCACAAATCCATTCTTAAAGAGTGAAAAAGAGGAGAAAAATTAAGTTAATACAAAAGAGCATCTAAGACTTTTTTTTTTTTCTGTAAATTGTAGCTACGGCATATAATATGGCTGAAATGAAGAAGACAAGCAATATGAGCTTAAATTTCAAGAGCTGTCTCATGTCTTTTAATGTAAAAATTTGACAAGAACCCAACTTTTCAACATAATCCAGGAGCATCTTAAATGCAGCCAGACTCACAAAAGAGGCTCTTCTTCTTCCATATTTACACTTTCTACTGAAAACCCAAAAGTACAAATTGCAGGACAGCAAACAAACTGAACAATCAAATCACAAAATCAAGCAGGGAAATCAAATGGCAGGGGAGACACCAAAGATGAGTTAAGTAGGTCTGGATGCACAAACCCAAATCTGCTAAGCACTTGATTATCTGCAAAATTCAGAGCCTTCTGCATCCCATTCCAACAAGCCTCCCAAGTGTACATGGAGTTGTGCTCTCCACTGCAAGGCTCACAGCCAGTGAAATGCGTCACAAAAGGCCTCCTCACATTCTCTTTCCAAAAGCCTCTATCTTTCATATGCTTCTCTCTCATTGCACCATAAAACAAGCTCATCTTCTCTGCATGCCTTCTCCTCAGCAAATCCACCTCTCTGTCAATCTCCATGTACCCTTTGCTGATCTTGTCAAGCCCATCCACTATGCCCAACCAGTACCCATGCAAGTTGTACTCACTCTCCAAGTAAATCCTGTCCGCCCATCTGTCCTTCTCTTTTATGAGGAGGTAAATCAGAGCCGACTGATCATCTGACCCAGGATATGCCTTGTCCTTGATCAATGACTTTTGGGCTTTTCCCCATTTTTCATGGTCTGGGTTCTGTGGGCCCATGCTGGTCCATCTTTCCATCAAGTCCATGGACCACTGGCAGTTCCTGATCAACAACACACCAGCATTGAGACTTGTCCAGCTCTTCTCCTCATACAGCATATTCCACCATCCATGCACAACCAAGTTATGATCTTTGTACCTCTCTAATGGCAGCTTGAACTCCATGTCTGTGAGAACTGCATCCGAGTCGACCCACCAGATCCACTCGGCCTCAGGATGAGCCAACATGGAAGCTCTGAGAAGCGGGTATTTGGCCCAAAAGCCAGTCCCTTTCTGGTTCAGCAAAACATTGTTGTAAAATATCTCATGCCCATGAATTCTACAGTAATCAACTTTGTTCTTAAACAGCCTCAGCTGCAAATGATCACCAACTGGGTTTTTGCACACGTTTGGCTGAGACCCAGTTACAAGAAGAACTTTTTCTTCACTAGCAGCAAAAGAAGGGTGAAGCTTGAGCCATTCTCTGCGCTTCAAATCCCAATCCTTCATTGGTTCTTCACCGAATGCGTAGCTGAGATTCGGGTCGTCGTAGAATGTGGGCTCAGACGGGTCGGAGCCCAAGTCCGGGCCGCAACCACCCGTGCTCCAGGTGATGATGTTGTCGATGCTGGTGCTGGGGTTGATGAAGGTGAGCAGAGCCCAAACCAGAGACAACGCCATTGACGCACCTCCAACAAAAAGAAACCCATCTGCAATTAGAGAAGGGGCCTTGTGAAAAACTGATCTTTTTTTAGGTGATTGTTGAAACAGAGAGAATTCTGATGAACCCATTTGCAAGAAAACCCCAATGCTCTCTCTCTCTCTTCACTCTGTGAAAAGAGTAGCTTGCCCTCTCTCTCACTCTGTTTTTGTGATTAGAACAGAGTGTGAACTGGAAGAAGCATTAAATACCAAAAGCCTTGTTTATTGGGTGCCCGAGTTAAGAAAGACTTTCATGAAACGGGCTATTCGGGCCGGGCCAATAACGCTATTACACACTTTATAACACTTATACGTCGCATAGTATTATTGGCCGGAAAAGCATGATATGCAACTAAGTTTTTCAGACCAAAGTGCTTTAGATTGGTCTTAACACGTGGAAAGAATACAAATTTGAGTTTTGGTCTAAAGTTGAATAATTTGGGTGGAGATTAATTAATTAATTAATTAATTGGTGCATACTTTGTTGGCTTAATTGCTCTTCTCTTTTTACGCTTGAGTGTCGGCTTAAATTTGACCACCGAGACAACGTGATGCCCCCTCTATCTGTTTTAAAGTCGGCACATCAACTTGTGGTTAATTACATAGCCAAGATTGCAGAGTTTGATTGGTGGCTGAGGTATTAAAAATTAAAAATGAGATCCCAAATATATTGAAGATAGCATGGACTATTATTTTCCTTGAATTATTTTCATGTTTCTTGGAAGCATGGGCCATTCTATTATTATTTAACATAAAGAAATTTCTATATATTTAGCATGTCACGTAGACCTTGTTTTGTGTACTTTATTGTTTTCTTTCCATTTCGTATGAACTTGCACATGGTGCTTATAAATGCATTGTTTTTTCTTTTTCTTTTTCTTTTTCTTCTTTTTCTTCTTTTTCTTTTGACCTTTTGGGGTAGATTCTCGGTGTTGTGTTTAATACTCTGTGTTTGAGTGCTTCAAATACCCAAAAGAAGAAAAGGGAAAAAAGAACGATGGGTTGGGATCGTATTCTTTGCAGGATCTGCAAGTTAGGTCATTAGCACAACTTGTTTGTTCATGTGTTGTCAACTTGTCATGCATGCATACTAGTGGATAACATGGTATTAATTAAGGGCCTTTTAAGACATCTTGTTAAGTTTAAATCGAAGTTTTAAAAAACTCATCGGACTTCTGACTCGTCACGTAATAAAAGAAAAGGAATTTGAATTTGAATGGTTTACATAGTCATTTTTAATAGCGTTTTCCATTTATATTTCAAGAAAAACAAGATCAGTCCAAGTAAATTGTTAGGTGCAAAACCTTGTTGGCTGAGGCCTTTGTTTGACACGAGCACAGGGCATCAAAAACTCAAGAAAGATGCATAATTTAATCCATCGCTTTGGCACTGACTCTTGGGTGAATTAGTGACAAGAACATTTAGGAAAAGAATATCCGGCCTTTTTTTATTTTTAGCCTTGATGTTACATGAAGGGTGAAAATGATGGAACACCAGACACCCTCAAAATTCCAAGACTGAAGCATCTTGCCTATGAAAAACCCAAGCATCTAAACGGGTCAAGTTTGTCTTTGCAGTCTTGTCATCAACATCTATGCCACATTGATATCAGGTCAACAATACATGTCATTTTTCTGCATCACCAACATTAAATTACTTGAATAGATTTAATCATAATTGGACGAGGAGAGCCAAGTTTCTCCGGAAGGAAACATCAAACCCTTCCGAAAAAATTAATTGGATGTAACAGTCACCCACCAGGTGTTACTCATTCATGCGTTCATATTTTAGGGTGTAGTACTAGTACATTAAACACATACTATATATATATATATATATATATATATATATATATGTGTGTGTGTGTGGACGACGCGTTCATATTTTACAGTGTAATATTAGTAATGGCGGAGCTAGGATTTCACATTAGAGGGGGCTATTTACAAACATTTTAAAAATAATTCGAATAGGAGACCTCAAGCGCTAACCGGATTAATAAGTTAATAATAATTGATTAATAATTTATTCATTTATTACAATCATAATCATAGTATGAAATATCGATAATATCGACGAAATATCAAGGATATTTCGGTTGTTTCGAATCACGGATATTTCGGAACATATCCATGTACATATCGTATAAATATCGACAATATTGAAGATAATATCGGAAAATATCGATGTCGATAATTTTGCTCACACTTTAGCAATATTTTGTCAAAATATTGGTGTAATATTGCTAAAATATCAAAAATATCGATGTAAAGGGAAAAGAAAAAAAAGGGAGAAAAAAAAAACACAAAGGGGATTTGAACCCTTCCCATTTTACTCCTCCAACACCTTAGCCATCATATCACTTATGTTTTTGTGATAATATGCTAAAATATTTATATTTATATGGGTGGCATGTTAACAATTACATGCAAAACTATTTTGGAGATTTATCATTTGATGACTACTCTTCACAATACACTTACTCTACACATAGAGATGATGAAGATAGTGAAAAATTTGAATCTCATAGGAACTCTATGTGGTACTAAGTCACTTATGTATCTTACTATGCAATGTATAAAGTGTAAAATATTATAGTAAATCATTATATATAAATGATTATGGTGTGTTTAATATTTTTTCATTAATTACTACATATTTTCTACACTTACAGTGTTTGCCAGCTCGCTGTATAATCAACTTAAATCAGTTAAATCCATCATGCAATGCATTTCCTTTTAAATTTTTTGTGATAAACTAATAGATAATTGACTAAATAAACATTCTCCAAAGTTTCAATAAAAAATTTCAAGTTTTTCTTACAATTTCCATGGTTTTTATTCAATTTTTATCGATATCGATAATATCCCAATATTTCCATCGAAATTTCCGTGTTTTTAGACTACCGATATTTCCGATATCATCGATATTTTAGACCTTGATCATAATTATCTTGAATTTCATATTTTAACATAGTTGAATATTAATCTCATCATCTACACTATTAAAGAGTCAAAATTTAATAATTTATACTTCAACAGAGAGAAGAAATACAAAAAATGTTCATAAATCCCAATATTAAGATGCCCTACTTAGACATGTAAAATGGGGGAGAGGGGAATTCACAAAGCTTAAGTTAATCAAAAGAGGAAGAGAAGGAGAAAAAAAAAAGAGTTTTTACTCCAAGAAGCAAACATATAGCAACACACATGAGTAAAAATATGAGAAAATAAAAAATATGAGAGGGTCTGGGCCCACCCTAGTACTTAGGTGGCTCCACCACTGAATATTAGTACATAAAACACATACTCTAACACCTAGTTAGCATTTTTCCGTTTAATACTTGTATTATACACGTATGTATGTATTTTTTAATAATACTTTCATTTTCCATACACATTTTAAAAACTCGGTAAAATACACACTTTTAAAAAACAAACATACAATACATATATACACATACGTACATATTTTTCACGTTTAATACACGTGTTTTTTACACAATTTTAAGTAATACAAACAAAATTCACATATTATACCCATATTTTTCACATATTATTGAATAAAAATAACATATATTTAAATATTCAAAAAAAATTATCTTAAAATATTACATAGTGGCCTAAAAATAATATATATTTAAATATTCAAAAAAAATTATCTTAAAATATTACATAGCGGCCGAACTTTCCCATTCCGTATTTTACCAACTAGGCTATAACATGAGTGGTACACCATTTCTCTGAACTTTTAATATAGGTTCATATTCCAAGGGCTATAAACGAGGATTATAGACGATACATACAAAACACAAAACTTGTACACTAATTTAATTTTGTGGACAATTAGTAGTTTGGGGCATTGTTTATTACAATAATCATGTAATGTACCCATCCTTTAAAACAATTACACGACCACAATAGATGACTGCAAATATAACATCAAACAAATCATCACTACTCCATTCCATCTCAAAATCAGTCCACCCACAGTTTAATAAGTAGAGAGATGAGAACTTTAGCAATAAACTTGGAACAAAATGAGAAACAAAGAGTGTCTCTACAGACAGCACCAACCAAATGGAGCAAACTATTTTCTTAGCTCAAAATCCAACCTTCACAGAATGAACACACTACGTGTCTAGAAGACTATAACCTTTATCTGCATGGCCTGTTGCAGTTATTGTAGAAGAAAGGAACATAACAAAAACAAAGACCTCCATCCAACATTCTTGAATATTAAAAACGGTAAACGAATGCGAGAAGTGAGAGCTGCGCTTCTCAATGGTAAACTAGCCCCAAACCTAATAATTGCGGGTTCAAGTCGCTAAAGCAATCTCTGTAAATGGCTGTGTTACTGTCTTGCCTCCCCAAACCCTGCATCAGTAAGAGTCCCGTGCACGGGTCACCCTCTTTTTACAAGAATGTGGGAAATCAACTGCACTGAACACTGTACATACCATACCTCCCACCTACATCTCTATTTTAAGGATTCCACAACAGAGCATCAAAATATGCCCTCCTACATCTCTATTCTCAGAATTCCACAACAGAGCATCAAAATAAGCTCCTAAGTCGAGGAACACTATCTACTTCACCCACACCCTCCTAAAATATATATAAAAAGGAAACCTGTACCATGCGATTTGAATACAAAGAGAGGCTTGCTTACAAGTTTTTTTCCAGAGAAACATGAAATTAAGTAAAAACATATGAACCTAAACTACTAAACTTACCCGAATCATATATATGCCCTTTAACACCCACTTTATTCGCTTAAGATGTTGCATTCACTCATAAGTAAAAGCACAAGTAGAAAAGAACCCAACAATTTCGCAATCCAACAGAATGCCTTCTCAAATCCCTTTTTCTTCTCTAAACTCTGTTTCTCACATCTTCACATGGTTTAGCATCAACTCAGCACAGACTCAGAATTCATGTGAGAACCATTTCCTCCATCACGACTGTTAGATGCTCCTATGGGCATAGACCGCTGTGTGAAATCCAACAACATCTGTCTCTGGTGCTCATCAGTGTGAGGAAGGCTTGCACGCAACAGCTCAACTGGCATTTCACGACTAAAAGATATGGCTGTATCTGCGCCAATAACAGGCACATTTGGAGAGGCCTCCATTAGACGTGACTGCATTATACTATCATATTTATTTACACAATACTTTGTCAGAAGGCCAAAGAATTCATCAAAGGAGGCCTGCCAAAGTGCCCGATTGGTCACGTTGTAGTTGCTTGCAGCATGAGGATCAGTTAAGAGTTCAGTTGCCCTCTCAAGAACTGAATTGAGAATAAGGGAGGCCCCATCTCCTGCGGGGCTTCCAAGGGGGCGAAGCGGGGGTTGCTCCGAGGAACAAACCACTGCTGCAAGACAGGCACTAAGTGCACCAAGGTCCATACCTCGAACACATGATGAAACAACCCTTGCAAGAATATTTGAAATTTCTGCAGTCCGTGAATCAGAAGGGAGGGTACCAAACAGGAACCTTAGATGACGAAAGATGGCCATACAGACTATTCGCATGAGCTCACCACCTGGAAAAAGAAGCTGCAGGTACTTTGCTAGGAGCTTCCGGCCCTTGGGAAGAGAAACTAACCTTAGGAATACAAGATCATCCTTAGGGACAGACCCAACTGTGTGGCCATTGTTGCCAAGTGGGTCAACCAATTGAAGAGATGTTGCAAGCCCTTCCAACAAGGCCTGCCGCCTACGCTTCAACTGTATTCCACCATCTTGGAGTTGATTGAACTGTAGAAAACGATCAATGTCATCCACATCTAGGAGAAGACATAGCCCATCCTCAATTGTAACTCTAGCAGCAAGCATTGGCTCCTGCTCTAGTGGCTTCTCAGAAACCTTTTGTTCAGTGTTGCCAGGACTAGATGAATTTGGAGGCTCAACTTCAAGAAGAGGACGAGGCCTACGTATTGAAGAGAAGGGAACCCTCCCAAGAGCATCTACCTGGAGAAAAGCATGTGGCTCAGTATTAGCTCGTGCTCGAGGAGGAAGATCCCTTAAGTTAGTTGGGCAGAAATGATGTTTCAACTTTGCCCCGGCAGATTTTCTTGCAAGGCAATACTGGTGGTAATAATCTTCCACATATGGGTCATTGCTGTGTGTAGCAGCTAGCTGCATTCGGAGTATACTCTCAATTTCATCAGCTGTCATATACTTGGACCTAAATTGTGGCCACCCACCATCACTCCTATGGCTACCTGTATCAAAGCCATATTGAGAAAAACGCATATTTAGTCTGACTTTCTGAGCTGATTTTGGCCTTTGATCTCGAGGATCACCCATACCGAGCATTGCTTCAAACTTGCTCATTAAGGGCGGGGATGGAGAAAGATGGGGGTTAAATAGTTGAGACTGCATCACTGACAACTGGTTAAATGATGGCTGAACTGGATGGTGCAGTCTAGGAGGTTGTGGCTGTGGCTGTGGCTGATGCATCAATTGTGGAGGCATTAAGCCATTCTGATGAGATAACTGTTGTTGCAATAAATTGTTTAAAAGACTGGGATGATCTCCATATGTGCCACTTTGGTTGGCCCATTGCTTTAGGGGTCGGCTATTAGCAGAGATGCCAGAAGTAAGCTGAGGCAAATTTCCACCAAAATGTGATCCATGAGGTAATCCAGTCATTTGAAGTTGAGAGTTAGAGTAAGGAGAGTGGTTTGGTGAAGATAATCCCCCCTGGGGTCCACCAGCAAGATATGGGTTCAGGTGGCTTGATTGGCGGTTTGGCGAAGCCTGCTGAGAGATGCCACCTGGGGGAGGATATGAAGTGAAACCAGATTTTGGCACCAGAATTGGTTCACTGGAAAAATGTTGATGATGATGATGCTGCTGCTGCTGCTGCTGTTGTTGTTGGGGCTCAGGATATGAAGAAGTTCTGTACAAAGGCAATGATTCTGTGGGATGTGCAGAAGAAGAAAACGGTTGTGAAGACCATCGTTTCCCATCCTGAAGGCTTTCAGCATCCAATATATCTTCATCAATCCAGTTAGGGAAATGTTCCTGTGCCCATTCAGCAGCAGATGAACCTGAAAGAAACATGTCCCAATTAGAAAGTTTATAACATCAACGTACAATATATTCAATAAGAAGTCCTCAAAGACACAACAGTGCCTTCACTTTTACGAAATTTTCATGATGAATTGCAAGCATGGTATAGTTATACTGATATCTTGTAACAGAAACAATAAACTTAAAATTCATCGATATTGGACTTCAACTCATTCTAAACACGGCATACCCCTAGTTCAATTTTCATCAACGCTAAAATACACTAGAACTTTTCAACAGGATAGAATGATGAACATGTCAAAACCAAACGGTCAAATGTAAATATTTTCACTTTTGGTTTCACATCATAACATAGCATAGATCCAAACTAACAGGAACTTACTTGAATATCCTAGCTACATCTATAACTTACTTTACTAGATTTTAGCAGCAACCATTAAATAAGAATAAATGCGGATGATGAAAAAAAATGAAGGCTTTGCAATCAACTGAAAGGAATTGAGTCTGTACAGGACCGGGTTTGAGGCAGGGTTACAGCAACATAGCAAAAAGAGATATGCAACATTTTCACTCACTTTCTCTGGATCCTCTATCACCAATTACTCCAGCACGCCTTGTTCCACTAACATCTTTGTTTAACTGCAACAGAAGAAAAAAATATGTGACTTAGAGCACAAAAACAAGAGGAGACATTTGGCATCTGACACCAGTAACCAAAATTAGTTATTTATATAAACAATTCCAGACAGATAACAACTACATTAACTAGACCTAAGCCTCAGGGTACAAGTTTATAACTAAAACCCAATTAGCCTATATATATATATATATATCCAACTGTAGGTTATTTGACTTGATAGTGCTCCAATAAGAATAATCATATCAAACCCCAAAAACTACCATAGACAAATAACTAAGATGTAAAAGAGAAATAATAAGACAGACATCTAGAATTTAAAAAATATCTTTTAAGAACAGAAATATATAAAGTCCGAATGATAAAGTTAAAAACTGTAACAAAAGGCTTATGTGTTGCCGATTTGAAACTAAAATATCATTCTTCCACACTTGTTACTATGCACAATTTAAGCTCTCAACCCATAAATATGACAGCAACAACAGATTTTCAGGGGAAACAATTATTCACAGTTACCAGGATGTCCAAATCACAGTGCAGCTCCTATGATTAACACTATGCAATGAATTGTGTCCTAAACATATGACAACTCGGAAAGGATATGCCTAATGATGCTGAAACAGGTCTCAAGAAGAGGAATGCTGCACTACAAAAAGATATATCCAGGTCCATCAGCGGCAGTACATTTCCATTCACATTTTATTGGATCATGAACTCCTGACAAGCTCCAAACAAACAGGCTCCATTATCAGAAGCCTGAGGGATAATTAGAACTATGTTCCTTTCACTTCTCGTCATGAAACTATCAATCCCAATTACTAGTATATAGTCCACAATCAAGTTAACTTAACTTATAGGCTTTAAGGAACAAAATGAAATATTAGATTATGAAAATTAATGACTTCAACATTACCCCCCAAAAAAATCTTTGAAGCATATACAGGGTATTCAATCACAAGAATAGAAAGATTGAGAACAAAAACAAGACAGAGTCATTCGATTTTTTAAGAAGAAACACACTTATTATGTAGAAGAAAAAATGAACACTGCGGTCGACTTAAAGTCCACCCCTACACATGAACTTATCTACAGCACAGGAAGCCAAAGATAATCACATTCAACCTAACTTATAATGAACATACAGCTGCCTTCCAGTCTATATAAATAGCACGACAGGAAGGGTCCCTATATTCATCTGTAACTGATCATGCCCATAGAGAAGCCCAAAACCAAACTGTCTCCCAAAGTTCTCCCCAGCAGGGCCCTTAATATCTTCAAAAACATCTCTCCAACCATGATGCCTCAATAACTGCTACGCACATAAGCCTTTCGCTTTCTTTCCTCTCCCTAACACTTCCTGTTGTTCATAAGGTATAGCAAAAATCCTCCGGGGACTACCCAGCTCAGCCTCACCTCTAAGAATACTCTATGCCACAAATATCATGCAACATGACAGAAAGGAAGGCATGCGCAACACCTTCTCACCCCTTTTTGCACAAGATGCACCAATGTGAAGGTAGGTCCATTCTAGGCCTTCTTTGAAATATCACATGTATTGACCTTCCGATGTGCCACAATCCCAGAAAAAACCTTCACTTTAAGTGAAACCTTTTACTTCCAAATCTGCCGAAAGGAGATAGCATCTACATTATCACTCAAGTACCTGCCAAAAGATTTGCACGATAACTTATCTGAACATCCTAGCTTGATTTTCTTATATCAGCCCTGTGTGGAGACACAAATGCACCCTTTCCAGGATCAGCAACAGAGATGACAGCTATCCCACTTCCTGCTCATTCAAATTCCTTCCAAACCCGATATTCCATTATAAGGGTAAATGTAAGAACCACCAGCCTTGAGATAAAAACATTGTGATACCGTGGTAACAATACAACATAGGAAACAGAGTTCCCACAGATTGCAGCAACTTGAGAAACATTTGACCCCTTGAGAAATATGCTTTGACAGACTTCTGCTAAAGCTCTGAACTAATTTTCATCACCAAGTGCCATAAGCCTCTTCTTCCAGGGTGAGAATCTCCAAAGCCATTGCCCTAACAAAACTCTTTTTTTTAATCACTAAGGTACCAATACTCGGCCCCTCTTCCAACATGGGAATCTTCAAAGCCACCTTCTTTACAACCAGTTGCCAAATACTAGTGGCTCTTGGATTATCCCCAATGGGAGACCCAAATGTTCATTGGCCAAAATCCCACTCCACAGCCAAAGAATCAGCCAATAATTTAACCTTTTCTTAAGCAAAAATGTGTCACAATAATGCAAAACTACAAAAATGGTGAAGTGAATGGATCAAATAACAGGAGCAATTGAGCAATATACTATTGGTAAGACTTAAACCTAAGGCCTAGTATCTTCTCTTCTGCTTGAGGAGGGCAGTAGAGACATTACAGCATTGTCCCCTCAAGTATATATTATGAGATCCTTCAATCACCTAAGATTCATTTTTCTTTATCACGCTTCATGTCATATCCTGGTGGCTTGGAGGGAAACACCACGCTTCATGTCATATCTTAACATACACAAATTCAAAAACGATGAAATAATTCAAATCCCTATTTTACCAATAACTGAGTTGCCAGCATGTTTTTTTATAAAAGAAATTAGGAGAAATATAAGACTCGTTGAAAAAAAAATACAGGAATCTAGGAGACGCTAAACACTGTTTTCCCCACATTCATCTTGGTTCCCAAAGTATGCAGCTCACATTAAGGCCATTATTTTACATATACTTAATTGTATTCCATGCATATCATTAGAAAATTTGCAATCTTGGAATTCCCTCACTCATTGTGAAAAAGAAAATTGAACACAAAACACCATAACTAATTCAGAAGATGCTTCATGTTAATCCAGAATATTAAACAAAATCATGCATTTTGACCACCTGCATCATCAAATCTGTAGTAAACTTACCTTTTCAAAAGTTAAAGACAGATCATCAATATCAGATAGAGATACATCACCCTGCCAATAAGAAAACAACAGTCAGTTCAACCAATTGGAATTTCTTGAATATCAAAATTTACACCCGCCCCCTTCCTGCCATTGAACACCTACTACAGTGAAAATTTTGGAAGAGAAGAGTTTATTTCTTTTGTCATTTATTCCACAAACAAAGGAAACTCCTAAATCTCCTGCAAAAAACAATGAAAATCTACACAACTATAAAAATTCACAGAAAAGCTTATCTAATCAAATTTCCAGCAAGGAATAAATGGAGTAGTAGGCCAGAAAGGAAGACTAAGCAGAGGCCAGTAAGACAACAAACAAGGGTATTCATCTCTCAGCAGAAACATGATGACAGAAGCAACACTTCTTGAAAGTATAGAAACGAAGACAGCCATACTTCTAAATCTTTTTATGAGTTTATAACATCAAACATATATAAGTAACAGCATGCAAAGGAAGCAATAGATCCACACCCAAAAAACCCTAAATGAGTTTCTTAATCAAAATGCATAACCCAATTTAATTGAATAACAATGAAATCTTTCGTAAATCTCCCAAGAAGTACTGTTGTGACTTAAAAGGTCTAAGACTCTATCATGCAATTTTGAAGCAGAAGAAATTCCTAAAATTTTGAAAAAAGTCACAAGAAAAGAAATATGATTTCATGACATTAAGTCCATATAACTTCCAAATACTAAATAAAGACATTCAATTCCCAAAAATAATAAAAAAGTTGTTCCAAAGCGATTGTCATAAAAATCAGTGAAGAAAAAGGTTTAACCTGTTCTCTATCATATAGAAACTCCTCCTCATCAAACCCAACTGGAGCATCCTCTTCATCTAAACCTCCCAACTCAACTTCCTCAACAGAATCTTTACCAAAAAATGCATATTGCGATGCATCAAATACCGCATCTCCTGCACAAAGGAAGAACTCAAAGTCAAAAGAAGAATTAAATGATGCTCCAAATAATTGCATCGTGAAGGAGGAAAAAAAATCACCTTTCCAATAAAGCACCATGCAACTATATATTCAACAAGCCAAACAACTCATGAAAAATATATTGCTGTGTAAAACACATTTACACATAGAATTGAAACTTGTATGCAATTAACTACATAATTGATTAAGTTGGGGATTTCTTATTTTTAAGGAACTATTATGAAGTATGGAGACCTCAGATTGAATCTGAGTCTTACTAACATTCTTTTCATCTGAAAGGCATTACTGAAATCATATTTATGCTTTCAAGTATTGACTGCAACAAAATATAGGTAAGCACCGTCCAAAACTTATTCAAAGCTTAATATTAAAAACAAAGTAGTTTATAGCTACAATTAAACAACAACGCATCAAAAAGAGTCTAAACACCAAAGTGAACAACACAACAGAGGGTGGCCGAAAACCCTTTGAATTCAACAATCCACACTATTCCTTTTGGCTTATAGTAATCAGTAGCAAATTCTACAATAACCAATTCACGGTTTAAAATTTCTCACTTCTATTATCAGTTTTCTCAGCAGCTAAACAGAACCCAGATCTATAAAACAGACTACAACCCGCAAACGCAAAGCAAAGCAGGAAAAAATAATGATAAAAGAAGAATCCCGGAAAGCTAAGAGAAGCGAACCTGAGGTATTAAGTTGCAATTGGTTGAGATCTTGAGGGACGGAGCAGGTAGCCTCTTGAATACTACCCCTACTCTCAAACCCTTCCATATCCTACACTCTTCTATATCTCCACTGTATATTTAAATCTAATAGAACACGAAAACAGAACTGAACCAGTAAACTAAAACCCTCACAATAATCAGTAGCTGAATCTCCGAAGCAAAATTTGCATCTAATAAAAGAGAAGCAAAAACCCTTTAAGCTGAAATTTGTGCAAGGTTTTTGCTAAGATGGTAACAGAAAAGCTGGTGAGAAGATCTGTACAGTGGGTTGGGTACAGGTATTCATGGCTTTGGCAAAGCCTTCTTTTTTCTGGGTTGGATTTGTAAGACGAGATAACCCTAGGTAGGGAATAAAGATTGAGTTTTTTTTTAATAAGTTTTTTATTTATTTATTAACTGGAATTAGATCGATAGACTGATAAAATAAAGAGAGGACGGTGAGGTGACAATATATTTATATTTTTCTGAGAATGGTTATTGTTAAAAAAAAACTAGCCAGCGGCAGGCTTAATTATGCGAGTAGGGATTAGTCGAAGTGCACACAAGTTGGCCCGGACACCTCATGGTACTTATCCAAAAAAAAAAAAAAAAAAAAACTCGATGTTCAAAATATTAGAGCACTTCCACTTATTTGTCATGGCAAAAGATAAGGGGAGGCAAATGTTGTTACCATTCATATGAATAGTGTTTGCCATAGAAATTTTTTTGTTGGTTTTCCACCCATTGTCATGGCAAACCCAAGGATAGCTACTATTCACATGAGATATGCGGAGAGGAATTTGTATATAGTTTTGGTGTGAGAAGTGAAGAATATGACTAGGTTTTTATAATAATAATAAAATTCTGAAATTTTTGGTATTTTTAAAGAATAATTTTCATTTCTTTTATAAAAAATTCATTGCTGACGTGACAATCCTCAGACAACAGCTCAGATTGTTCTTGCCTTCGAGCTTGCCAGGGCTTGGTGGAGCCCACATCTTGCCTGGGCTGTTTTGTACTGCTGGAGCTGCATTTCTTATCCTAGGCAGCCTTTTGCCAGGGCTCGGCTGTTCGCTGGAAGTGCTCTTAAAAGACAAAAAAAGGCAGAGAGTGGTAGTGGAAATGCTCTTTTTCTTCCTCTTCTTTTTTTTTTTTTTTTTTGTGGTTTTTGTTGTATGCCCACTATTATGGGAGGGTGATGGTGCTGGCTTGCTTTGTATGCAAATAGAAAAAGGCAGGGTTGAAAAGGAGATGCATCTATCTATCTGTCTCTTTTTCTTCCTTTTCCTTTTCTTTTTCATTGATTGGTTTTGTAGCATTCTTAATTTATATGGACTAAAGTAGAGATGAGGCGAGACATGCATCATCACAAGGACACCCATAATTGGAATTATTGTATGTTTAGGTATTGTAATGAACATTGAAATATAATAAAAATAAAGAGCAATATTGATTAGAATAAAAATGAATGGAATAGGAAGAGTTTGGAAGTAAAGGAATGTGATTTTGAAAACTAATAACAAATATAACGTGCTCTTGTTTGGGTATTCATGTGTACTATTGTGATGTGACAATAGTGATACTTAAATTGTTATGATTTGTACGAAGAAAGTAAGATAATGCGTTCAAAGAATACTGAGTCGAATTTAAAACGCCTTAAAATTAAATAAATAAAAAAGATTAAGTTAAAAAACACAGTGTAATCTCATTTTCCCATCAACATAAGAAGAGTTAGAGTTTGTTTAGTAATGCTTTTGTATTCATGTCTTTAACATTCCATTCAATGGCTTTTTATATGTTGATTTGGAAGAGCTTGACGACGAGAATACATATATGAAATGCTTCTTCATGAATTACTTAAAATACCTTTATACACGTTGCTGTAGATGTTTAATACAATTTAATTTTCATAACAAAATAGACAAAATCAAAATGACATCGTTGTCTATTTATGTCATATTACAAAATATGCTCTTAGTCTTTTGGAGGAGCTTATGGAAGGTAAATGTGTGAATCAATCCGCGCAAGTGTGGTATGTGGGCAAGCTTGTTAAAGACAATTAATATGAGCAGGTTGTGACATAAATAGACAAATTTTCACTTAAAAGATACACTAAAGAGTCGTGTGTCTAAGAGCTGTTAGCCATGCACTTAGAGTGATTATAGTATTCGAATATTAGAAGTATGTAATAACATTCCATTCAAAATCAAATGGTTTTTTATATGTTGACTTGAAAGAGCTTGACGAGAAAGCATATATGACATGCTTCTTCAGGAAATACTTAAAATGCCTTACGCATTGATGTAGATGTTTAATACAATTTAATTATTATAGCAACAACAAAAAATGCAAATGATATTGTTTATGTCATATTACAAAATATGTTTTTAGTTGTTTGGAGGCCCTTATGGAATGTAAATCGGTGAATCAATTCATTCAAGTGTGGTACTTTGAGCAAGCTTGTTAAAGACAATTAATATGAGCATGTTACGACATAAATTGACAAGTTTTCACCTAAAAGACATAGTAAAGAGGCGTGTGTCTAAGAGTAGTTACCATGCATTTGATTTGACATCGTGTGTTCAAATCCCCCTCTTCTAATATCACATGTATAAATTGAGTCACATGTCTTTGTCATGTTAATGAGTTTTAGGTATTAGTCTACTTGTACTGCTTTTCTTTATATTGAAAGAAATCCATAGTTGCCAATTCAGGATTACCACAGTGATTGTGGCCCTCCCCTTCCCCCTGCTTGGCACCCAAGATCAAAACCCCATGGTTTCTTTCCTCATAAGAGCACCTCCACCCCAAAGGACAAGGACAAGGGCAAGGGCAAGGACAAGGCAAAGGCAAGGCAAGGATTGTCACTATTCAAGTGAATAGTGCAGCCCTTACTTTTTTTGTTTCCACCCCAAATGGTAAGGGCAAGGCAATTACTATTCACTTTAATTTATTTTATATTTTTTATACTTAAACCATTAATTTTGATAAGATTTTCGGATAAAATTTTCGAGTGCCATGTGTCACTATTTATTATAAAATTCTCATCTCAAATTTCAGATAAAATTTTCGAATAAGATTTTCGGATTAAATTTTCGGATAAGATTTTTGGTTGCCACGTGTCCATATTTATTATAAAATTCACATCTCAAATTTTAGATAAAATTTTCGGGTAAGATTTTCGGTTGCTACATGTCCATATTTATTATAAAATTCACATCTCACTCATCATACAATTGAAATACCTACTCACTCATCATACAATTAAAATATTCCTGGTCCTCCAGGGATGGACCCAGGATTTTAAAATGGGTTGGGCTAAATTTAGGTACTAAGTAGATAGAAAACTTAACAATACCATGTGATTTCATTGATAACAAATATATATATATATATATATATAGCATGAACAATAAAATCAATTATAAATCCTATTTGATAATTCATAACTCATAAACTGAAACTGATGCCCCAATTGCAAATCCTAATTGATACTTCATAAACTCAAAAAAAAAATCCTCAAATTAAAGCATCAAGAAATTAAGAGAAGCTTACATGACGAATATAGAAACTTAGTTCACTTGAATTAAGTCTTGAAGGTGAGTGCAGCAGCAACAAGAGCGTTTTTTTTTTCTCTATATGCAAGGGTAGGGTGGTGCTTCTTCTTCTCTTCACCCCACCCCTCTTTTCTTTTTATTGACTAGGAGAACTATATGAGGTTAGGTTGGGGTGAGCCTAGGATTTTATTTTTTTGGCTGGAAAAAAGAAGCCACCTAGGCTATAGCCCAGGTTTGCCAAACTATGGGTCTGTCCCTGTGGTCCTCATAGGACTACTCAATCATTGGCGGAGGCGGTTCTACCGGATCACGACGTGGGGGAGTATTTTCCTTTGGAGGATGTAATAGTGCCATTATTTCCAACACGGAACGCACCGCTTGAACTTACTACATGCATTGCTTACTTGAGGAGCCATGTGTAATGGTTTTCCTCTTTTTTGTTTTGCCTTGAATAATCTATTAAGAAAATGAAATTGGAAACGCAAGAAATATTAAATAAATAAAAAAGACATTAAATGAAATAGAATGGCAATTTTTTTGTTGCCTCGTCACCAAGATTTTGACCGCTTCGAATATTTGTCCACAACCCTCCGGCTTCGATGGAAGAGGCCATTTGTATTTTTACACAAATGGAATTTTGTAGTAGAAAATTTGGTGTGGAAAGTGAAAAATATTGGTCGGTATTTATAGAAAATTTTTCCTGAATTTTTTGATATATATTTTTTCAATTTTTTTAGCCAAAAATTGAATAGCCGTTGGATTGGATAAGATTTTTGGATCGAAGGCTCCAGGAAAAGCCATCGTGGCTTGTAGTCGTTGGTTAGAAAGCAACTGTGGGTTAGCGCTGACGTCAATAACCTTTGGGCAACATCCTAGGTAATTCTTGCTCATGGGCTTGCCCGGGCTGCTGGGTCCCACCCCTTGCCCAAGCTGGACCTTGCACAATGGAGGGGGTTTTTGGGCCTGGAGCTGCCTTTTGCCTACCTTTGCCCTTTGCGCTGGAGATACCCTAATATAACCAAAAAGAAATCCATAGTTCAAATTCACTACACCAATTAATTCAAATTAAATCAAATTAGCTTAGACTAAAACACTAACCACAATAAGTACATACAAACTCCAAGTTTTTTCCCTACAAAATGGGTTAAAGGGATCAACAAGTTAAACAAGTTTTTTTTATTTTTTTATTTTAAAAAGCTAACTTAAATAACAATTTAACTCAATACATAATAAATTGGTTACACAGGTTGAGTTGTGTTAGCCGTATAATAAACGGGTTGTATTTGTGCTGGAGATTTCTAACTCGTTACCTTAACATGACACGAACACGGCGCAAGACCTAATTAAAATATGAGCCGTTTTTCTCATACATAAAAAAGGAGTTTTTTTGTTTTGCACACTCTAAAACCCAATTTTTGTAAGGTCTAAATAATAGGGTTTCGACCCCCAAAAAAATAAAAATAAAATAGGGTTCCTATATCGCAAAAAGAAAATTCAGTATAAAAAAAAAGAGATATAAAAAAAAAAAAAAAAATCTCAATTTCCCTCTTAATATGCATACACACATTTCCCAGCAAACAGATAAATTGAACTAAGCTTTGCTCTCTCTATCTCTCTGGTTCTGTGGTTCTTTCAAAGCTCCAATGGCTCGTATAACATTATGCAGTCAGCTACTTCCATCTCTCCTTGTTCCAGTGAGGCTGAGGAACCATTATCAGTTGATGGGAGTCATAGGGACTGGTTTAAGCAGAGGGCGGCGCTTCTCTGCTGCGTCCTCATCCAAGATAAGCATGAGCCTCAAAGCTGGCATCGTTGGCCTCCCTAATGTCGGCAAGTCCACTCTTTTCAATGCCGTTGTATGTCCTAGAAACCCTTTATCTCTCTGTTTGGTTGCTTAAATAATTCAAGCAAGGATAACTGATATTTCCATTTGAATTTGATATGTTTATCTGTTTGTTTGTGCTTACTTATCTATCATTTTCACTTGCAACTCAAATTGGGGATTGCACTGGAAGGATTATCAGGAACTGGACTGATGCATCTTGTAGAATTGTAGTGAACTGCATGAATTATGTTGAAGGAACACTCAGCTTTACAAAATCTTAGTGCACATTCTGATTTAAGAAAAAAAGATCATATTTTTATTTTGTGACAGCATACTTTGCACCAGTAGCTATATACCCATAATGGTTGTTATATTGTGAATCTGGATTTCTACCTCCTATACTGTTATAAGTAATACATAGTTTTTATATTAAAAAGATTTTGCGAGTGTAGGTTGAGAATGGTAAGGCTCAAGCTGCCAATTTTCCATTTTGCACGATAGAGCCGAATGTAGGAATTGTCGCAGTTCCAGATCCACGTCTCAGTGTACTTTCTGATCTCAGCAAATCTCAGCGAGCAGTCCCAGCATCTATAGAACTTGTAGATATTGCTGGCCTTGTCAAGGGTGCCAGTCAAGGGGAGGTAACATTGCCTGGTTAATTATTTATTCTTTTACCGTTTTCATTTTTAAGTTCCGTTGCAAATATGTTAGAATGCCTCAGCTGAATTTATTTTCTTATTTTCATTACTTTCAGGGTTTAGGGAATAAATTTTTATCAAATATTCGCGAAGTGGACTCCATACTTCAGGTTTCTATCCATTAATTTATGCTTTTTTTTCATGTGTGATTACCATATTTTTCTCGTTGCTCAAAATCCTGTTTTCCTTAATGGATTCTTTTGTAATGTTACTTAATATTTGTGTGTGTGTGTGTGTGTGTCTCTGAGAGAGCGAGAGAGAGGTAGGTTAGTTGCTCGTTGAGAAGAGACCATTTTGTACTGATTTCTTAAACTCTTGGCAGATGACAATAGAAAGTTTGTGAACATGTGACATGCTGGTGCATTTTAGTGCGAGCTAGAATCTTATTTGGTTAGGATGAGAAAGAAAACTAAGTTGGGACCCGAACCTGACTGCATAATCACAAGCAACAGTTAAATCTTTTGAGTATTTGTATTTTATTTTTTGTGGGAACTTGCTTATTCTTTAGTTTTCCATTTTATTATTGTTTTTTTCTGCTTGACTAATCAGGCTCCTCTGTGGTACTGCAAAATTTTTTCATTTTAATAAAATGCTCTTTGCACATAACAAAAAACATTTAACTAAGCTTGATTAAAGATGCTATTGTTTAGAGGTTTTGAAGCAACCCCCCCTCCCAAATTTTGAATCACAAATAAACTGTTTTGCATTCTTTTTATTGGAGTTTGGAGAACAGCTTCGCCTCTATGTTTAATTAATATTGATCATTATATGCCTTGTGTCAGTTGGACAGTGCATTATGAGGTCTCTAGATAAGTGTTTGAGGACTCTCCTTTTCCAGTGCGATGGATACTGCTTTTATAAAAGAAAATGTCGTATGAATTTAAGATAACAATTTTTTGTTAATATGGACCATTGGAGTGTAAAATCTTTTATAGTCTGAATTCAGAGTGGAGAGAAGAAGCAAGTTAAGTTCATATCTTTTTATTAAGTATACATAGTGCTTTTCATCATTTCTTTTATAGATCTACATCATTATTGGCCCATTGATTGTTGTTTCAGGTTGTTCGCTGTTTTGAAGATAATGATGTTGTTCATGTGAATGGGAAAGTTGATCCTAAGGCGGATATTGATGTCATCAACCTAGAGCTTATTTTCTCAGATCTGGACCAGGTTTGCTAATTAACATTGTTCTACTACTCACTTACCATCTTTCTATCACAACCTGGAGCTCATTTACCTATTTCTTTCTTCTTCTGTTCAAATTTTTTTATACCTAGTTCTTGTGGATCCTGATTCATTGTCTGCTTTGGAGGTGTGGATTGATCCCACATCCTGACTGAAAACTTTCTGGATTCTTTGCTTTTATGATAATTAGTTAGTCTTTTAGCTTTACTCTGCTTTGAAATAGGTAGTATATTTTTCAATCCAATTGATTTGAAATTTGGCTTACATAATGGCCACCAGGCCTGGTAATTGATTCATGAGGTTGTCAATTGAAAATTTATGAGAAGTGGTTTAGGTGGTGAACTATCACAGTGCCTTATCCAAGCTGTACAGATAAGACGACCCTCTACAGATATATATGTTTTATGCAAACTATACTTTTCAAATGCGTAGCTATTTTATGGTTCAAAGTTGATGATGTACCTAAATTTTTTTTTACGTGCACTTTTTTGCTTGTAGCTACACTTCCTTGTCCTAAAATCTATAATCTCTCTCTCTCTCTCTCTCTCTCTCTTCTTTTTTCTTTTTTCTTTGTAGGACTATTCTATATCTGTTATTTGTTTTTAAGATATAATAGCAGCTTGGAAGGATGGAATGAGCTGATTGAACTAAATTGTATTATTCACAAGAAGTGCAGATTGAGAAGAGAGTGGAGAAGCTCAAAAAAGGAAAGGCAAAGGACTCACAAACCAAAGTTAAGGTATAGTACTATCCACTGCTCTCTTACTGTACAGTGCATAAGTATGTGCTAACATCTCACTCTTTCCCTTAAATTTTTTTTTCTCCTTCATTAAGTATAAAATGATACACACAAAGTCTTTTGATTTCAGGAGGAAGCAGAAAGGTCTTCCTTAGAAAAAATTCAGCATGCACTATTGGATGGGAAACCAGCAAGATCAGTCACTTTAACAGATTTGGAAAAGGATGCTGTAAAGCATCTTTGCTTGCTTACAATGAAACCGGTTATATATGTTGCTAATGTTGCAGAATCTGATCTAGCTGAACCTGGACATAATCCTCACGTCAAAGAAGTGATGAATATTGCTCCTGAGTTGCAATCTGGAGTAGTGACAATTTCAGCACAGGTTTGGGGATGCATCAGAAGTATTAATAATAGTTTGAAATTGAGACAATTTTCACAGCTTGTGCCTGCCTCTCTGCTTGTAATGTTTGATTGGGATTAATGCTAACTTGTTCGAGACTAGCAGATTTGTGTTCCTACTGTTTTTGTTTGCCTTAATTATGGAAGTTTGCACTTGCAGGTCGAGTCCGAGCTTACGGAACTACCATATGAAGAAAGAACAGAATTTTTGGAATCTCTTGGTGTTAGTGAAAGTGGTCTTGGGAACCTTATCAGAGCAACATATGGCGTCTTGGGGCTCCGTACTTACTTTACTTCTGGAGAGAAGGTGAGAAGGATGAGTTTGTGAACTCTTTTGGATGTTGTATATGTGTGTGTGTGTGTGTGTGTGTGTGTGTGTATATGTATTCCATTTGTTTTAAACGATTGTTCCTATGTTGTATACAGGAAACAAAAGCATGGACCATACTTGCAGGTGAGCTTTGGTTATGCTGAATGTAAATTGTGTATTATACTACAGATATGGTAAAATACCTCTGAGTGGACCTTGAAATGCTTCAAGCAAGTGCTAACATAGGCTATGCTGTTCTTTATATCATAATTGGGAACTTGTTTACATGGAATTTGTTTTACTGATGGTCGTAGGTGAGAAGAATTTAGGTCCAAACAGAAGTAAACTTAGATAGGTTAGGAAGTATGATGGACTACTTGTTCATCATATCATGTTGTTCTCTGATTCTTGTTCTGTGTTGATCTAGGAATGACTGCACCTCAAGCTGCTGGGGTCATCCACTCTGACTTTGAGAAAGGTTTCATTCGAGCTGAGACAGTAAGCATCATAAACAGAACTTCTAATTCTCTTTACAACTGGTTATGTTATTTTTGTATGGGATGATATAATATATTTTTTATGAGAAGATGAGATAAAACTGATATTCAGGAAACTGTGCGCAATGCAACTCTGTTAATCATGGAGTTTTTGTCTTGGTTCTTATCCACTTTAAAAATATTGATATAAACTACAGTGAAAAACTTTCCAGTGGTTGCATTAGGGGTTGAAATAATTCAATTCTTTGGTTTTCTTCATGTTTGCCCCTCTCCGTGTGTTTTTGACTAATTGGGTTTTCTGTTAAATATATATAAAGTTTATTAAGAATAAGAAAAAATAAAAGAAACTTAAAAGATTGAAAAAGCATCGAGAACCTTTGCAAGGGTGTCTTTCCTCTTCTTTAAATGGGTCTCCTAATATGCATAAATATTTTTCTTTTTAAAGACAACTAGAATTTTAAAATTGTGAATGGAGCTCTGCTTCCTTAAACTGAAAACTCATCAATAGCTAAAATAGGTTATGGTTTTCTTTGGACAGTGAAATGCATAATTTTGTGCATGGTTCCTCATAATATAGGGTTTCTTTACAAATTTTCCTTTTTTTTTTATACCTATTAATTTCATGATAGTTTTTTAACATGCATAGCATATGTACAAAAGTACCATTATTTTTCCTCATCACTATATTTAATCTGCCATATACTTTCCTTGAGACCGAATTCCTGGCTGTGCTCGGCCCTGCAACCCCAAGCATCTTGTTGAAGAACTATATGGTCACAACAAAATGAGCCCTTGACATATAAAGTATAAATGTTAAAGGATGGGAAAGTATTTGATACTCTTTTCATGATGCCTTGGGCACACTGTACCCCAGTGACCACTAAATTTTCTCTTTTCCATTCTAGATGATAACGTGCCTCACATGAGAGCATGAATTGCATCATCTTTGGCAGTTAAAGTGCCTTGATGATACTCTATGGAGGAGCACTCACTTTGACACGTTATGGGCAATGGCTATTTTATTGGATTAACCAATTGATTTTAATTACTTTAATAGAAGTGAGCTTTAAACCACCTAGTTCTATGTAAGTTCTGTTCAATATTCAAGACAGCATCTACCAGTTAATATCGTAAACTCATTCATCTAAAACCAATGAAAATGATGGAGTGCTAATTTTATATTTTCTGTATAAGATGTAAATAACTATTAAAACATTTTAGCTATTTATTGAAGTATTTAAAAATGTTACTGGAACTAAAGCATTTAATAATAACTTCTTCTGTCCTTTTATTGTTAGGTGTCTTATGATGATTTTGTTGCTGCTGGTTCACTTGCTGCAGCAAGGGAAAGAGGAGTTGTAAGTTGGCTGCCTTGTTATTAGCTATAATTGTCTTGTTAACCAGTAGCAGCACATATAAATGCTGTCCACTTTTGGTCAAGAATCAAGATTACAGAACGACTGTTATATAGAATTGGATCTTTTTTATTAAGTTCTTTTTTTTGAACAAACAGAGGCGAAAAGTCTCTTTTCCTTTAATATCATTCTAGATCAAGCTGATTCACCCAAGCTACCTTGATGTTTGCAGTTGAGATCTGAGGGCAAAGAATACATTGTACAAGAAGGAGATGTCATGCTGTTTCGTTTTAACGTATAAAAGCTCATATGGAAGCAGCTTATCTTCCCAATTCAGGGTAACAATCAGATGTAGCTTTCTTCACAAGATGGACATTGATTTACCTGCAAGTCCTGAATTTGGAATGATGAAGTATTCTTTTGTTATATACACGATAGCAGCACATATAAATGCTGTCCACTTTTGGTCAAGAATCAAGATTACAGAACGACTGTTATATAGAATTGGATCTTTTTTATTAAGTTCTTTTTTTTGAACAAACAGAGGCGAAAAGTCTCTTTTCCTTTAATATCATTCTAGATCAAGCTGATTCACCCAAGCTACCTTGATGTTTGCAGTTGAGATCTGAGGGCAAAGAATACATTGTACAAGAAGGAGATGTCATGCTGTTTCGTTTTAACGTATAAAAGCTCATATGGAAGCAGCTTATCTTCCCAATTCAGGGTAACAATCAGATGTAGCTTTCTTCACAAGATGGACATTGATTTACCTGCAAGTCCTGAATTTCGAATGATGAAGTATTCTTTTGTTATATACACGGAGAATACTATAAATTTTGCTTGAAGAGTAAATAGCTCAATTGATTGTTGATATCAATGGAAGCTTGATTTTGAAATTCTACAGAAATTAAACGAAAAGAGCGTGAACCAAAATTTATAGACTTTTCTCTATTGTAGTGGCATCACTGTATTTGTAACCTTTTTAGATGATTTCGAAAATGCTTGTAGGCAATTTTCAAGTATTATACTCCAGTTAAAATTTGTTAGTGTTGTACATTCGTGTCATGCTTTGTGTCGTAATAATAGGCGGTGTATGCAATATTGTATTCTTAAGAACAACCTCATGTTCAAGTCCTGTATGATTTCACAGGAGTGCTCGTGATGTTGTAAGAAAAACAAACTCTTTTTTCTCTTTCTTTTTCGTGAACTGGAGGTGTTTTGTAAATTTGATATTAAAATGCAATAAAATCACAAGCTCCAATTGAATATTATTGGCAACAAGGGGCAACTGTACTGCAATTAACCTTAAGTTGCACGCAACAAAGATCAGATGTCTCTGTCTACAACTAAGAGAAGTTTGTCTTGATTTTGGTTGCAATGGGACAAGGATTTAATCAAGTTGGCATAAAACAGAGACAGGATTTTATCACTTGGTCCTGTTTCAACAATCAATACTTCAATTATGCGATAGAATTGATAGATGATGCTTTTGCTTCTAAACAAGTGAAGATCCCTTTCTGCTATTTACTTGGAACAGGAGGCTGGAGAAAATGGTCCATTATTCTCCAAACACACACTCTTAGCAGCGTTTGCTTGCTGTGGCCAGGTCCCACTTGTGTTAATTATTTGATTATGATCAAGTGGTTTTTAACAGGTGTCAGATTTTTACACGACACGATAACAGGAGTTTAAGTAATCATGATTGTTAACCAATAAATGGTTCATATTCACGTGAGGGACACGATAACAGGAGTTTAAGTAATCATGATTGTTAACCAATAAATGGGTCATATTCACGTGAGGAGAGAGATAAGAACAAAAAATTCATGCACTGGCACATGGAAGTTTTTCTCCGTATTTAGGTTTAATACGACTAATCTAACACGTATTAATTTTGGTGCTGATTTAATTAGTACAAATTACATGTATCTCAAATCAACACGAGCATGACAAGTCATTTGAAATAGGAGAAGAAAATGCATAGAGTCATTTCAGCTGTGTGATAAGATGTTCAACAAATAGTGTGTGGCTGAGCATGTATTTGGTGTTTGTCAACAACCCGAAATGTTGGCAGCCAGCTAGATTAGAAAATGATTGCACTGCTGCATTTCTCCCTTATAATCAACACAAGCTCCCTGATAAGTATTATCATCTTACTAATCCATCAATTAACTCTTTGTCCATCTTAAAGTCATTATTAACACTAAGGGTCCCATGAAATGATCAATATTTCTTTGTATTATAATAGAAGGGAATCGAATTATTGACATAACTTCATTCTAATTCATTTCGCGGTCCGCTCTCACTACTTGTACTAACTTCATTCTTCGCATAATTAATTGATTATAAAACACCAAAACCTTTGGAAAAATAAAACCTTTGAAATCATTAAAGTTGGTGATAACCACTCTTAATTAGGAGTTAACATAGATGAATATAAACTGAGTTCTTCTTGATGAGTCAGCTATAAATTATAGAAGTTGTTAGCTTTTGAACTGACTAACTGAGGTGATGCTTGATTAACACTTAACCTCCTCAGCCTACTTGAGTTTGGAGCATTTCTCATTTTGTTGGCAAAGACTAAACACACTTGAATTTATTTACAGAGATAAGGCAACCAACTTAGCCACATGCTGCAACAGTTTTTGGGTGCCTAGCTAGAGTAAGCTAGTATTTGGCCAAGTATATCGACTTATGGATTTTGCCAAGGACACTCGTTCACATACGAGTGGGTGGTTCCAAGCAATTGATGCATTGTAGCCGCCACCCACTCGCGTGTGTGCAACTGACCCTAGCATTGCTCATCTACCTACAGATATGAAAACAACGGGGGAAAGGCTATAGGCTTCTAGCTAGTATCCTAGTGCTACATATGCTTGGGTGCCTTGACTAGGAGAATAGCTACTAGCAAGTGACAACAGGTTGTGATTGCTTGTCTGTCTGCAGTACCTGCGTATGTGAAAAGCCCCCACCAGGCACACCATTAACATCCACAAAAAGATTACTTGTTTATGTCACTCAAAAATGTTCGGTTGCAGACTCATGGACCCCGCAATTTTTTCTAGCACCGGAAAACAACGACTGTGCACCCACCCAACCCAATCTTCACATCTTAAAACACACTTTACATATCTGATTTTCTCATGAGTATGTGTCAAGCCTCCTATATATCTCAATCACCTTAGTTTCCACACCAGAAATTAGCCTCTCTCTCTCTCTCTCTCTGATCTCAAAAGATAAGGCTTTTAAGGATGAAGAAAATCAACTTTTTGCTTAGGAAATGCAAGAGCTTGTCAAGGCAGCTAGGGAGATCATCATCTTATAGTAGCCTAAGGTCCAAATCCACAAGAGAAGATTTATGGGTTGGCCATGGAGACAAAATGCATGAAATTGATCATCAGCACCAAACTATAATCTTTGTGGGAAGCACAAGAAAGCGCTATGTCATTAGTTCCAGGTACCTCAACCATCCTTTGTTGAATGCTTTAATTGACAAGTCCTCAAAGCAAAAGCAAGGAGGAGAAGCAGGAGATATCTTGGTCAACTGTGAGGTGGTTCTCTTTGACCACTTGATATGGATGCTAGAGAATGCTGCTGATCCAAGCTTTGGTGCTTCAGAGTCCTTGGAGGAACTGGCTGCTCTCTATGTGTTCTGATAAGGCTGGTGGTTGTGTTTGATGATCTGCTAATTCAAAGCTGATAGGGAAATATATATCATGCTCTAGGTTGAGGCCACAGCATCTTGAAACCTGTATTATATCATTCTTGTTACTATTGATTCTGTTCAATTCTTTTTTTCTTTTTTGGTTCTAACCCTTTGTGTTTAATTTGATGGATCATGCTCATAATATGGTCATGTTTTGTAATTATCATGGCGTTGCACTGTTGTATTCTATGAATATTCTTGATATTCTCTCAGATAAGTAAATAAATGTCCCAAAGGGTCTCCTTGAATTCAAAATAAAACATGTTATTTGGAAAGCCTACTGATAATTCCAAATTTTCTCAGTTCTGGCCACGAGATAATTCACTTACAACAAAACTATGCTATTACAATGAGCTTATCATGGCGTTGCACTGTTGTATTCTATGAATATTCTTGATATTCTCTCAGATAAGTAAATAAATGTCCCAAAGGGTCTCTTTGAATTCAGAATAAAACATGATATTTGGGAAGCCTATTGATAATTCCAATTTTCTCAGTTCTGGCCATGAGATAATGCACTTACAACAAAACTATGCTATCACAATGAGTTAGTCACAACAATCAGGTATTGAACTTAAAGACGTATCAAGTTCGATTTTCCTTTTCTCACCTATTACAAAAACCTATATCGTAACTATTAAACTAATAGAAACCTCCATCGCATTAAAAATAAACTATTCATCCAAGTTGTTGGATAATATAAAAAGAATATTCGTATTCGAGACATCTTCCAAAATTCAGAAACGGAGTGCCACTAAAACTATTCATCCAAGTTGTTGGATAATATAAAAAGAATATTCGTATTCGAGACATCTTCCAAAATTCAGAAACGGAGTGCCTATAACAGGTTTTTGGTCTGGTACACTAAAATTACTTTCAAGTAATTAACGTATATAAAGTTTTGGGCCATGCTAAGCGCAAAATAGAAGGTCCAAACCCAGCATTATACAAACAGGCCAGCATTTTAGTTCTTATTGGGTCATGAAACAGGCCAGCTCAGGACCGCAAAATTTGTGGACGAAAATATGGGAATTGTTGTAAATGTTAATTGTGTAGATATCTACAAAACAGATTTTCGGGTCACGAATATAATCTGATGTTTCTTTAGTCAAAACCTTCTATCCGAGTGAGCCTAAAAATCAGCAACTTAAATGCGAAAACAATGAAATTATGCTGCTCCTGATCGGCCGACGAGAGCCACCCTTTGTGGGATTTGAAGTTCTTGAAGGAGCCTATGCATGGGGTTAGCCTAATCTGCTTTTTCCGTTTGGAATTCAAGTTCTTCTGAAATTCAAAATCCTCTCTTTGTTCACTTCAATTTTACTTCTGTGCATGGTTTTAATTTCTCTCTGCTGCCACTAATTAGGGTAGAAGAAGGAACAAGTCGAAGCGACCAAGGTTGGAGAAGAAGGGCAGTCAGTATCAGTGGACTCACTTCACCGCCCTCGTGTTTTTCTGGGTATTGTTTCGTTCTACTGCGACTCTTTTTTTGGGCCAACTTTTGCTTCTTTTTTTTTTTTTACTTCTTTTTTGATATAAGAAGATGGATTGGTTTCAGATTATGTTTATGTGGGTTCTTAATTTCTAAAATATATGGGCAATGAACGTTAGAAAGTTGCAGACCCATGTTGAGGTCTTGATTTAGAAATCAATTTTGTGCAGTATTTGCGGTGATGTTTACTTTTAATCTGAAGTGATGGCCAATTGTGAACACGGGGTAATTGCTTTTGTGATAAAAATGCCCCCTTTTAACAAAGACTTTTCATTTATGTAAAAAAGAATTGAAAATATGAAAAATTTGCAGTTTATGATAAAAAGTGAAAACCTTTGGCTTGCATATGGGTAGATATTCAAAGAGATGATTATGCCTGAAGCAGAAAATGTGAGGGAATTATTTGTCGTGTATGGAACTCTTTTCTCATTTAAATCAAAAGCAGAAAATGTTAGTTATGGAAATCTGTTGATTTTGCTTACTTGGTGGCTTTGGTGCAAACCGGATTTAGGTGGCTCAGAGTTGCTTATATCTGATATCTCAGTATCAAGGGAAGTAGGCATGCCAGACCTTTCACAGGATGTCATTGCAGACATACTCTCTCGACTTCCTCTGAAGTCTGTGTGTCGACTCAGGTGCGTGTCAAAGTCATGGTTCAATCTTACCACCGAACCCCACTTCATCAACACCCATCTCAACCGGCACCGGAAGAAGCAGAAAATCATTCTCAGTTCTAATAATTCCCTATTCTCCTTGGACCCTGAAGCACCTATAGATGATGATATGTTACCCTTGGAGATTGATTTTCCACTTAAGAACCATCCCAACACTGAGTGGGTTCACATGTTTGGTTCCTGTAATGGTTTGGTCTGCATCATGCCTCAGCCAGAAGCCTTCTTTATATTCAATCCTACCACTAGAGAGTCCTTGAGAGTACCAGATTGCCCCATGTCAAGTCATATTTGTCCTCCAGAACCACAAGAAGCTATGTTTCATCATGCATATAGTTTTGGTTATGCTCCTTCGATTGATGATTACAAATTTGTCAAGGTTGCTTATGGATGCATGGTACTCATTTTTTCATTGAAAAGCAGTTCATGGAAAAGGGTTCAAGACTTTCCTTACAAACATCATTTGGAGAAGTCAGGGACGACTCTCAATGGAGCTGTCCACTGGTTATGCAGACGCCTTGAAGTTGGAGGTACCTGTGTGATTGCTGCTTTTGATTTAGCACAGGAGAAGTTCTCTGATTTGCCCCTGCCTGAATCTGTCACAGATTATAAGAGATTTACAACTGGTGTTTTGAGAGGGTGTCTTTGTTTACTACACCAGCACGATAGGCGACACTCATTTTGGATTATGAACAAGTACGGGGTGAAAGAGTCTTGGACTATGATTATGATAACCGACTCATATTCTTCTATTTCTTTGAAGCCATTATGTTACTGGAAGGATACCAAGATATTACTGGCAAGGAGTTGGAAACAATTACTTCTTTGCAATCCAAATGATGGAACTTGCAAAAATTTCTTGGGAAATGGCCTTCCGGACAAATTCTGTGCTGATGTGTATGAGGAATGCCTCATCTCTCCGAACTTATGGTTCCGAAGGAACTCGCGGTTGCGTTTAGCCCCGATTACAGTACTCTACACATTTCTACTTCTAGTGCACATGAACTACTTGCTTCTTGTAACTGAGTTGAGCAAGTTTCTGACCAAAAAAAGCAACTGAGCAAGTCTAGGTCTTGTGGTTTATGAAGTTGTTCCTTGACATCCTTGTGTCTCTGACCTTCACTTAGTTTGAATTAATTTGTAGTTGTTGAGGTTCAAGAATGACAGTGACTATTAAGCATAATTCAGTAAGGATTTTATTTCATTTGCTTTGGTTGCCAGGAAAATAGAAAAAGAGGCGCGCACAATTACTTTTGCTGCTCCAAATTGCACTGTGTTCTCTCGTCGACATTTTTGCTCCTCATGCACTGTAATAATCCAAGTTCAGTTCAATTTCCTGGTGTAAGTAAACGAGCTATGCATTACTGAAATGAATCTTCTGCATGCAAACGGCAACATCAAGCTACATGAATTGGACTTGTCTTCTTCAAATGCATGTGTGCATTTCTGAAGTGGACTTGAGCTCCTATTATGCTGCGCAAAACAACTGCAATTCTAGCTTTCAGGATTTTGCAACGGATGAAGAACTCGTGTGCCTGAGACGAAACCCCACCGTCACCAAATTTGTTGACTAAACTTGTTTACGTTACCTAATACTATGTTGGTATACATGCTAATGGATTCATCTGGGGTACAGATTCGTGAGTATTTGCATATGATAAGAAATGTGAACTTGTTTATCTAACGGCTACGATAGTATTTAATGTTCTTATTGTTGAGAATTATATTTATGTAAAACATAGAGTTGTATTCCATATAGATTCCTCTCGTGAGTCATCTATCAACTATCTCTATTCTCTTACTTTCATAACACCTACGCTAAATATTTTATTTTTGAGAACTAAGAAGTTTATGTGAACTCAAGGATTCGAATATGCCATCCCAATACCTCTTGTATTAAAGAAAGAGTGCTGCTAAATGAACTCTACAATTAATTGAGTACACCATATTATTACACTATTTATTGAATTACTAATTTACCATAATATAAAATGACCAAAAAGAATCTTTGTTTGGAGTTTGCGGAGCTGTCTCTCTATTTTCTTCACTTGTAAATGCGTCTTTTCATTTTGGTAGATTGGATATAAGATTTAGGAAACTTTTGTTATAGTAGGTTGATAGATTAGCCATCTCTCCCCAATTTTAATCCTTGCACGATTTGGTTGGTTAAATATACATGTTAGGAGGTGGAGTTTACTCTGTTATTTTGTTAGATTGTAAAGCATAATTTTTGTAATTCCTTGGAAATTTTGAAAGAAAGGAGCATTCCCCTACCTTGGGTCAACATCCAATTCGATCCGAAAATGGCTGGAAAAGACCTCCAAAGTCGGGTGTTGTGTCATTGGGTGTATAATGAGTATTTTTAGTAGTTAAATAGGGTGTACTTAGTTAATTTTATATTGGAAGATTCAATATTATATCCAATATAGGAGATCAAATTTTTTTTTTTAAAAATCTATATAAAATGGACTTTAAAAACACACCCAAAGCCCATTTATAACATAACAAAAAGGCTTTTAACTTCTTTTAAGTTACAAAACTAACATTGATTTCTTAAAACAAACTCTACCCCAAAACCTCATAAAAAAAGCCCAAAACACTCAATAGGGCATCAAAATAATTTAATAATCAATTTTAAATTCAATAGGGCCAGCTGTTATTTTTTGGGTTTGTTTATAGAAATTGAATGATGTAGGATTTATTTATATTATTAGTACTAAGAATGGGTATATAACTAAAAATCTCTTTTATATCCTGATTAAATTCATTTTAGAGGTTGTTTAGCATAAGGATACTGAGAGAGTCCTTTCTGTCTTTCTCCTTTATTTTGTCGTCACCTGAAATGTATCTTTGTTGACTCCCATTTATTATTGATTTCATTCTTACTTTTTATATTCAATTTCAAGCAGAGATCAGATCGTCCCAGGCTCCGGTGCCAGAGAGATTGTCTCTGTCAGTGGATTTGCTAAACCCTGCTCTCGTTTTCTGGGTATTATCACATTCTTGCTGTGACATTTTTTCGCCAACTTTTGCGTATTCTCTTGTTTGTTTTGGTGAATATTTTGTTTATCTTCTTCTCTATGGAAATGGGTTTCTCTCAGATTATGTTCAATTTCTCAGGCTACAAATTTTTTCGATTTCTTCAATATATGGGTATGGAACATTAGAAATTTTGTGGCAGACCCATGTTTTAGTAGTTGATTTAGGGTCAAGTTGTGAACTTTTTAGGCGTAAATGGCAAACCTTTCAGAAGATATCGTTGCAGACATACTCTCTCGACTTCCTGTGAAGTCTGTTGGTAGATTCAGGTGTGTTTCAAAGTCATGGCTTCACCTTACCACCCAGCCCCACTTCATCCAAACCCACCTCAACAGAACCCAGACTCAGAAACTCATTCTCAGCTCTCAGTCTCTCTTCTCCTTGGACCATTTAGCACCTATAGATGATGATATGTTGCCCTTGGAGCTTGATTTTCCATTCAAGACCCATCTCAAAACTGAATGGGTTCTCGTGTTTGGTTCCTGTAATGGTTTGGTCTGCATCATGCCTCAGCCAGAAGCCTTCTTTATATTCAACCCTTCAACCAGAGAGTCCATGAGAGTACCAGATTGCCCCATGCCAAGCCATCCTTGTCCTCAACAAGGAGTGCGTTTTCATCGTCATGCCCACGGTTTTGGTCATGCTCCTTCTATGAGTGATTACAAGTTTGTCAAGGTTGCTTATGGATGCATGGTACTTGTCTTCTCATTGAAAAACAATTCTTGGAAAAGGGTTCAAGATTTTCCCTACAAACATCTTTTGGATGCCTATGGGACATTTCTCAATGGAGCTGTCCACTGGTTATGTGGCCCTCTTGGAGTTGGAGGTCCCTGTGTTATTGCTGCTTTTGATTTAGCAGAGGAAAAGTTCTCAGACTTGGCCACACCTGATTCTGTCACGAATTATCGGAGATTTACAACTGGCATTTTGGGAGGGTGCCTTTGTTTACTACATTACCATGATGATCATAAGCATCACTCATTTTGGGTTATGAAAGAGTATAATGTGAAGGAGTCTTGGACGAAGATTATGATAACCAACTCCTACTTTTCTTTACAGCCATTGTGTTACTGGAAGAATACCAATATACTACTGGTGAGAAATCAAAAGCATTTACTTCTGTGCAACCGAAAGGATGGAACATGTAAAAAATTCTTGGTAAATGGCCTTCCGAGTCACTTCAATGCTGATGTGTATGTGGAGAGCCTCATCTCTCCAAACTTTCAGCAGAACTAAGGATTGTGTTTAATCCAGTGTTTACGTTTCTTCTTCTATGCATTATGCACTACTTAACTCTTGTATGGAACTCAGAAAGTTTATGTTTTGTGGGTAATGAAGTTGTTTCCTTGTGTGTAAGTTTTCACTTGGTTTTGCTGAAACCCTCTCCTGATTTGATTGATGGTGGAGACATCAAGTTGGTGGTTTGTTATTATCTGTTTTGTGATTAGTTAATTTGTACAAAAATTTGTTGATTGCCTTAGAAATTTGCTGCTAAATTTTAGATTGTCATTGTCTTAGTGGCTGTAGTCATTGAAGCCAGTTTGATTATGGAAGTAATGTACAAGGAACCATGGGTTTCTTAAATGGCTTTAGATTGACTGCCTTAGAAACTTGCTGCTAAATTTTCCGCATATTGACAGCAACCTATATGAATTGTGGGCTATCAGTGTGTAAAATTGGAATTTCATGAGTTAAAATTTTAAGTAATAAATGTGCTCTGCCAATTTTCATTTTCTTAATTGTGCATACTCAACTTGAGGCTTTCACTGTGAGTAGTATTCTGCTCTGTTGGATGATTTGGAAATGTAGAAATCTGAATAGGCAAGGGAAAACCACAGTACAGTTCACAATCATCCAACTATGTGGCTCTTTCCTCCTTCCAATCTAAAGATAAATGTAGATGCTCGTCAATCGGCGAACAAGTCGAAAAGTCTGCAATACAAGATGTTGATAGCCTGAGAGCTATGTTTAATATATGGTCAAGTCTACTATATATTAGGGTAACACTTTGCTTGAGCCTTGCAGGCAAGGCAAGGCAGAAAAGCTCAATAATCACTTCACATATTGTTGTAGATGATATGCCTTTTGTGGTGGCTTGACTTCAGCCCATCCTCTTTGGTCACCATTATAAACAAGGGTGGCCTTAATTGGATGTCAAGGAGAAAACCTTACTTGGGCTTCAGAATTCAGATGACACCTGTGAAATGTTACAGTTCAAACCTACCTTGTTCCTATGGTCATTCTGAATTAGTGGAAGTATTATTGTTATCAATATGCTATAGCCAATCCACTCTAATTTCTCCAGTTCCCAAGATTCGCTAAATTCAAATGTTGACATATATATATATATATATATATATATATAAATGAACACTATTTATGTTATTCCTAATTCTTGTAAATCATAGTTTGACATATAAGCAGAAATAATTTGTCAAAATTAGTGAAAATCATGAAAAGGAGCCAAGTGTTTTTCTTTTACCCCTGCAAGGCGCTTGGACTTAAAGTAATTATGTAAGACTTGAGATCTTGTGTTCGAATCCTCCATCCCCGAATATCATTAAAAGAAAATCAAGTGAAGTAAGTGAGATTCAATGGAATCCAAGGTTGTGACATAAAGAAACAATACATATAATAATTATAAAAAAAAAGAAGGTATATTTGGAATCATACGTGGCCATGGAGTAAAGATTTTTCAATCTTTTGCTGCAGTTTAACTCTTGATACAAATAGAAGAAAATCAGAACCCCTTATCTAATTTACAATTTTTCCAAAAACAATGTGGCATTACATTTATAAAAAAATTTATTTTTATAATGAGACATTGACAAGTATTTGTACCTCGTCTACGATAATGCTGTCGGAACTACAGAATCAGTTCAAGTTAAAGGAGCCAATACAAATCAGACAGCTTCAAGACCCAAGTATTAGCACATAGCCCCCCACACTATGCACTATTTCCCACCAAACTCTCTTCCCCACAAAAAAGAATGTTAAAGTTCATTAAAATAAGCGCACAAGCTGTTAACTTTACCAGCTTTAATTTCATTGGTTTTTTATAGCAGCTGCTGCATACCAGCAAAGTGGCAATCCCAGAGGCTTTTGAGCCGATTCTTGCTCCAACTTGGCTGAATTTCTACTTGGGTTGGTTTGTTTGAAGGTGCTCTGTGACTCTGAGTTTCCTGCTACAAGAACCCATTCCAGCTCTGCCATTACTGATCAGTGAGCTATCTTCTTTTAACTCATTCTAAGTCTTTGATTTTATGTTCAAATCATTTTTCTTTATTGCATGAGCTGATGATTGTAGTTCTCATATCTGCAAAGGTTTGCTTTTTTGGTTTCTGCTGGGTTTTTGTTCTTTCTTCTTAATGAATTCCTTGTTATATGTTGCCTGTGTGATTGGATTTCTGGAATCCGTTAAACATGGGTTGAAAATAAGTTTTTCTACTGTTAGTGTAAAAACTGAAACATTTTGGTCACAAGGAAGGTACAAGTTTCCATAGCACCTGGTCTTTCAGCAAGCTTCTTTGATAGCCTCCACTGGTTCTGCTATGTTTGGTCGGTGGTGAAGCTTAAGAGGCAAATGGAATGTGAAAGATTTTTTTTTTTTTGTTTTTTTAGAGTTTAACAGTGAATGTCGAAGTGAGTCTTAGTTTGACATTATTTTTCTCTTCATTTGTTCCATTTTTCTAGGCGAACAGACATAATGGGGGGTGGATTATCATGCCTTTGTCAAATTTCATTACTCAATTTAAGGATTTTTTTAGTCTTAATCTTCATATGAATGATGCTAAAAAGTTGGATGGTGCTCCTAAAGTTGTTTCAGGGATTAGAGCACGCCTTTCGTGTATGTGTAGTGGAAAACATCATAATTATATATTGGTAGACTTTTAAGTGTATTAATCCTGCTGTAGGGGGATGTTTCATAATCAACATTTTCATTTTGGGATTTCACCATTAAGGAAGTCATTAGTATATTCATGTCTTATTTTGAGGCATGTAAACTTTGCAGTCTGTACTCTCAATTGCAGATTGCATGGTCCACCCGTGCCCCATCATGTCTACCGGACTTGTACTGTCTCACTTCATTTCTGACTATAAGTTCAACATGTGTTTGCAGCCTAAACTCTCCCTTTTTTTCCCTGCTTATAAGTTATAATATTATTACCTTAGAATTCTCCTCTTAAGATTTTTCATTATGTTATCGTGTTAGGCTAACTGGAAAGATGGAGCGGACCAGATTTAATATGAGGATGCGTTGTTCTGGTTCAACACCATCAGAGGAGTCAGTTTTAGATCTTGAAAGAAACTGTTACAGTCATTCTAATTTGCCTTCCTTAAGTCCACCAACACTTCAACCTTATGCATCAGCTGGACAGCATTGTGAGACCAGTGCTGCTTACTTCTCATGGCCTACCTCAAGCCGATTGAATGATGCTGCTGAAGAGAGGGCAAACTATTTCACTAATCTACAGAAAGGGGTCCTGCCTGAAACTCTTGGTCAATTGCCAAAAGGGCAGCAAGCGACTACATTGCTTGAACTGATGACTATAAGGGCATTTCATAGCAAGATTTTGCGGTGTTACAGTCTTGGAACAGCAATTGGGTTTCGTATTCGACGGGGTGTGTTAACTGACATTCCAGCTATTCTTGTCTTTGTTGCCAGAAAGGTTCACAAGCAATGGCTCAGCCCGATACAGTGTTTACCCACTGCCTTAGAGGTCAAGACAAAAATGTTAATTACAATTTAGTTATTCATTTAATTATTCAACAATTACTTTTTTGGGATTATCGACACCTGTTCCATCTGATTTTATTTGTGTTTTAAAGTACTCTCTTTAACTTAATCAGGGGCCTGGAGGTGTATGGTGTGATGTGGATGTTGTAGAATTCTCATATTTTGGTGCACCTGAGCCAGCTCCCAAAGAACAATTGTACACAGAAATTGTAGATGATTTGCGTGGAGGTGATCCATGCATTGGCTCAGGTTCTCAGGTATGTTTAGGTTACCTTCCAAGCTTACCTGCTTTCTATGAACTAATATAGGGATGGGAAATTGGAAATGCCCTAGTTTTAACCTTTTTTAACAAAGCATGGCCATCATCTTTTGTGGATTTTCTAATATATGACAGTAGTTAATAAAAAAATTTGAACTAGTTATTTATAAATCCAGCCTTGATTGAGGTTTCTTATTCTTCTATCTCATGTACCATGTCATTTGTCATAGTATTGAATCAGTAAACCAAATTCAATGGCATATTGGGTTAAGTCGAGAGCCAATAGCTTGAGCTTAGAACAGTCAAATATTAATTAGCCTTCTCCTGTTAAGCTAGATTTATTGAAGTGTCACACTTCTAAAATCTGGTACACTAGTGTTAGTTACCTAAGTAAATCCATATCTTATTCTATTACTGTGTACTGCATCACTGTTATTCCATCTTATTCTGGTATTCTTTTAAATCTGAATGCTGGTAAGTACTCTGTTTCTTTTTGCTTGTATTCAAGGTGGCAAGCCAAGAGACATATGGAACATTGGGTGCTATAGTAAGGAGCCAAACTGGCAATCGGCAAGTTGGTTTTCTCACAAATCGGCATGTTGCAGTTGACTTAGATTACCCAAATCAGAAGATGTTTCATCCCCTGCCTCCTTCACTTGGACCTGGGGTATATCTTGGGGCAGTGGAGAGAGCTACCTCATTTATCACAGATGAGCTTTGGTATGGCATCTTTGCTGGAATTAACCCAGGTAAGAAGGATTCAAAAGTTGGTAATGTAACCTACATTGCTCTTAGAGATGGATGACTTTGTTACTTTGACCAATTGGTCAATGGATGTCTACTTAGCTAAGTTGATCAAGCTCTAGTAAAGATATTCACAGATTAAATTTACAGATTACAAGCAGAATATTTAATATTGCTGCATCAGTTTTTACTTAATCTATTGTTCTATAGCTTCACTTGTCCCAGCCTTTTTGATGCCTGGCAAAAACATCACGATGGTGCCAAATCGCCTAATTAACTCATGTATTGTATGCTTGCATACGTTGTGCATGTCATCAGTAAACGCTATAATGCTTTTACCTTGAGTCTTGTTTTCTCTTATTTGTATCTACTGATGATGCCTTAGGCACCATGGTTGGGGTGTACTCGCCCTATTGGCCCATTTCAACCCTTTTTTCCTGAATCCTTTATTAAAGTCTGGCACAACATTTTGGTAATTAACATAAAATTATGTGGTTTGATTATTTAATGGTAAGGCTATCTTTCCTTAGGCTTGCTAATACCAGAGACGGACACATTTTTTAAAAGAGAGAAGGAAAGGAAGGAAGAGAAACACTTATTCATCCGGATTTCATGTTATTGCAGAGACATTTGTGAGAGCAGATGGGGCATTCATTCCTTTTGCTGA